AAATGATATAAAAAGAAAAAAAAATTAAAAAAAAAAATCTGTAGCCTAATATGAGGTCTCTTTCCCTCCTTACAGCCCTCTACTTCTCTTTCCTGTGTTAAAAAACACAGGAACAAAAAGCAAACAAGAAAAGTTCAAGGCCTGCTCTTGGGCTGAGTATCTGTCGGCCGTTTGGTTTTACGTGTGTACTGTCTCTTTAAATTTCTAGAAGATCTATGCACATGCGTAGTAGAACCCTCTGAGGGTGGGGCTGTAGTATCCGTCAGCTCAGGCACCCCTATAGTCACCAGAATGGAGGTATGCAGACAGCAAGAGACCAACGAAAAGATACCCCAAAAAAAAGAATACAAAGAATGTCCACACCTCTATCTCTGTGACTCTGTCAGGCGTCCGTGGCTGCTCTGATCCTTTCCCCGCTTGGCCCCACACAGAATGGCGGCTCCTGAAGCAGCTGAGTGTCCCAAACCAGGAAGCAATGGATTTCTTGCTTCTGCCACAAACTCCCCACTGTAAGTCTTCCAACCTTCTAAATATTCCTTTATATATGGTTCAGAGTACTGGGACCATTCCCTGAGCCTTCTTGGTCCTGTAGTATGTGTTGTTCTCGGCAGAGCTCATCACTACACTTCCACCTGATCCGCCATCTTTTTCCGGAATCCCTCTTCCTAACTTTTGGTGTTTCCTGGCAATCCTTGACATCCCTGGAGTTTTAGCTCCAATCTCTGCTTCCATATTCATATGACCTTATTCTCTGTGTCACTGTGTTTTCTTGTCTTTGAAGGATGCGTTATTGGATTTAGGGCCCACTTTAATCAGTCTGATGTAAGCTTAAACCAACTTTATATGTGCAGAGACCGTATTTCCATTCAAAGTCACATTATGAGATTTTGGATGGACATGAATTTTGTAGGATAAGCACTGGACCAAAAGGTTAGTTTGAACTGCATGGTCAGCGGTTCAAACTAACCAGCCACCATACAGGGCCATTATGAGTAAGAACCGACTCGATGACACTTAACAACAACAACAGTTCAACCCACTGGACTGCTAACCACAATGTCAGCATTTCAAACCCACCAGTTGCTCCTTGGAAATAATAGCATTCAACCCATTGCAGTAGCTATATGCTGTTTTGTAACATGTATAGACATGCATAACCACCACCACCATCAAACTACATGACGATCATTACCACATGTCTCCCTCAAGCTACCCCACTATAGTCACACCCATCTCTGTTCCATGGCAACCATTAATCTATTAGCCACCTTTATGTTAATTCACAAAAGTTACATAAATGGAATCATGTAGTATGTGTTCTTTTGAGATTGACTTTTTTTTCACTAAACGTAATTTCCTTGAAGTTCATCCAAAGTGTTGCTTGTATCAGTACATTTTTATTGCTGAATGGTATTTCACCGTATGGATGTACTACAGTTTGTTTAACCATTCACCTGCTGAAGGACATTTGGGTATGTTCCAATTTGGGGCTAATTATAAATAAAACTTCCATAAACATTCATGTACAAATTCTGACATTAAAGTAAGTCATTATATCTCTGTAATAAATGTCCAAGAGTATAATTGGGTCATATGGTAAATTTATTTTTAGTTTTGGCAAAAACTGCCAAACTATTTTCCAGAACGTCTGTAGCATTTTATATTCCTACCAGCACTGTATATATGATCTAGTTCGTCCACATCTTTACTGACATTTTCATGTTATCATTGTTTTTCATTTTAGCCATTTTGATAGGTATCTCATTATATTTCTTCTCATCTTTTAAAATATAAGTCAAGAGTTACCTTTATGGAGATTTTCCTAACATATTTTGGAAACTCCTTCTGTGCCATCTCTAATTCTTCATTTATTATTGTATTTTGATTATTTACTCACATAATCTGTTTGTTTCCCTCTATTCTAAGCTGCATGAAGGTAGGAGATGTACCATATTAATATTTGTTTCTGCAGCATAGTGCAGTTACAAGATGGGCACACAGTCAACACTCAGTATATATATGCTAAGAGAAGGAAATAATTTTTAAAGTTAGTCTTGCTTACCTCCCCCCTTTTCCCCATTAAGCTATAAATCTTTTAGAATAGAAACCATGACTTTTTCTGTATATCCCAGCAGCAACTCATAGGGTACTCTGTACATGCAGATACTCAATAACTGTTGGCTGACTATTCAGATGGCTTATCTTCCTTCTGCACCCAGGAGATAAAAAGGGAGAATAGATGTTGAGTATTCCTATATTAAGGATCATGTCCTACTATTTTTATAATATTATTTTAATCTCCACAATCACGCAATACTTGTCTCTATGTAGATGAGAAAGGAAAACATAACAATCCTTTGATGTAAAGAATGTGCCTGTAGTCTGAGCACTTTTCAATAGTTTCAGTGCCTTGGTTACATATGAATTTAGAAGGCTTTCCTTTCATAGCCCTAAATTCCTTTTGCATTTTCTGAAAGATCTGGGATATTTCTGTCTTAACTGCACTGGTCTAATTTGACATGCTCAGTATGAGCGGGTCGTTAGCCCCAACATTTTTTATCACTTTTCGACTCTGTATTTTCTCAGCTCTGAAGTATGTTAATTTGCACTTGTTTATATGTTTCTATAGGAGTTATTCCAGCTCCTGAGGACTGGTGTGTGTTTTGTCTGGGAAGTAGATTGCAAGTCTCTTGAGAGCAGGGACCTTTTCAGTGTTCAATTAATAATTATATTGGAAGCCTTACTAAAATCATCTGTCTTACTGACCTCTTCCTTCCATTTATAAGGCTTTATTGCAAAAAGCAGTTAGCTTGAGTTGGTAGCACTAAATGAGTCTACCCAAAATTATGCTCATAATTATTTAGTATAATTTGTTCTATAGTGTGCTTTCAGATTTATACTTCTGGATCTGTTGTTATAGTTACCTTTCTTGTAATACCCTGGTTGCATATGAATTTGAGAGGACAGCATCTCTTATCCTTGGATTCCTTTTATATAGTAAAAAGTAAGCCGATAACTTTTTTGTTTTCCACAGCATGTACTTACATGCAGGCCCCATTAATAACTAGGTGAGTCCTGGTGTGGCAGTGTAGGATAAGCATTGGACTGCTAACCACAAGATCAGCAGTTCAAACCCACCAACCACTCCTCGGAGACCCTATAAAAGGGTGCTACAACTTGATGGCACTTAACAACAATGACAACAAAACTCCAAGCACATTTGCAATCATAAGTTATTAGAAATAATCTTTCATTATTGTACCTATGTCTTGTTTTTCTACGTTTTAAAATGGAGAAAATGTGTATGATATATCCTAAAACGGTTGAAGATGAATTTATATAAATAGTTAAAGCAAATGTGAGTTCTAAAACACAAGGGCAAATTTGGCCCTTGTAGAGGATGGAGATGGAGTCTTTTTATACCTTAATAAAGTCAGCTTTATTAAGGTATAAAAAGAACCCCAGTAGCACATTGGTTAAAGCATTCAGCTGTCAACCCAAAAGTTGATAGTTAGAACCCACCAGCCACTGTGTGGGAGAAAGATGTAGCAGTTTGCTTTCATAAAGATTTACTGTAATGGAAACTCTATGAGAGCAGTTCTACTCTATCCTACTGGGTCACTATGAGTTGGAACCAACTTTGATGGCACTGAGTTTGGCTTTATTGTTGTTGGTTTGGAAGTATTTGCTGATCCAGCTATACCCCCACAAGTTTCCCACCAGTACCATTACCTCCAGACTAAACTGGCTTATCTTTTTCTGACATTTTGTATCCTTTCTCTTTTCTACAGTGTACTAAAGGAGGTATTTGTAGCCTTTAATCCCAAAGCAGTGGTTTTACAACTGGGAGCTGATACAATAGCTGGGGACCCCATGTGCTCTTTTAACATGACTCCATTGGGCATTGGCAAGTGTCTTAAGTACGTCCTTCAGTGGCAATTGGCAACACTCATTTTGGGAGGAGGTGAGTACAAAGGAAGATCACAGGAGAATTTGTTGACCTTCCTCTACATTTTTTCCGTTGACACTGAGTTAGACTTGGTTTTCTTAGATTGAATAATAACAACCTTCCTGAGTACCTAGTCAATGAAATTTGCTACTTCCTCAGTTCAGCATAAAGAAAATATTCTGACTTACTTTTCTCCTCAGCTTGATACTCTAAAGTCTAAGTTTCAGTACCTGAAGTAAAAGTTCTTCGGTTAAAGGTTACCTCAAATCTTATAATAGAAGATGTTAATCCCATTGAATTTTGATCAATCTTCTCTCAGTATCATCTTTGATTCTCAGTTCTAATAATCATCTTTAGATATAAAAACTCTGACCTTACTTGTATATAATCAGTAAAAACATGAACCTTACTTATAAGTAGTAAACACATGAAGTAAATAGCTAAACTGAGATCAAGAATAGCTGCTCTCCTCCTCAAAAAAAAGCCATGAACTTGTTATAATGAAGCAAAGATGTGAGTTCCAAAGAGTCTCTTGGGCATTTTTATCTTCATTGTATACTTGTGGTTTGTTATTACTTGACCAACAGAAAGCTGACTCCATTCAATTGTTGTTGCTGTTGTTAAGTGCTGTTTAATTAGTTCCAACCTATAGTGACCCTGTGTAGGGTGTCTGTGGAGTGACTGGTGAGCTTGAACCACTGACCTTGTGGATCAAAGCGACTTTGCAGTCCAGCACATTAACCTACAGTGCCACACCATGACTCCATTCAATAGAAACTTTTAGACATTTGTGAAAGATGTATGTAGCCTTTAATCCCAAAGCGCCTTTCACAGTTTCAGTCACCTTTGATGGTACCTTGCTTAGAATTTTCTGTCTACCTATCTGAGACAATCTTTATTTCACTGGCTAAATGTATTGGTGTGTTAAAATAACATGATAAGCAAATTGATCTTAAAATATATGTCTTAAGAGACAGCTAATAATTCGTTGAATTTTTGGTTTGTTTTTGTTTTTGATTTTGTTAACCTGTTGTAAAAAACAAATTGGAAGAAATTGGACAGGTCAGCTTAAAAGGTTATGATAACTGTTTCATGAAATCCCAAAGTGATAATCTTGATAGATTTTCTCTAAGGATACAGGAAGATCATTATGAAGGATTATTATGAAGAAATGTTCAGAAAGTTGAAAACTACATTGGTGAGAAAAAGGCCAGGAAAGTCGTACCAACTGTATACCAGCTCATTATTCAAGGGTAACAAGGACTGTCCTATATTGCATTGAGAAACCTTACCCCATCCACCCTACAGTCCTGATCTTGTCCCTCAGACTTTTTTTTGTACCCCAAATTCAAGGAACATCGTAAAAGGAACACAATTTGAATCACTTGAGGATGTCAAAACTGTCATTTTGATGTGATGTAAAACAAAGAGTATAAAATTCTTCAGAGAAGTGTTAGACAGATGGAAACACCCCGTTAGAAGTATGTAGACCTAGATGAAGGATATGTCAAGAAACAGTAGCTTAACAAATTGATATTTTTCTCTAATACAGGTGTCTATGATTTTATAGCAATACTTTTTGACTTCACCTTGTATATAGCAGAGTTTGCTCTAGGGCAATCTTTTTGTTGTTCAGTTTTTCTCCTAGAATTAAACATTCTTAGCCCCTAAAAACAAATATGCAATTAGTAGAGAAACTTCATCCTAAAGCATTAGCGGGCCCTGTTGAGCCTAAAAGACACATGCTGGAAACCTCCAGCATCCTTTACATTTTAAGTAATAGGAAGGTTTTTTAAAATGGTGACCATATATCCCAGTTTATACCTGTTATTCCAATGTAATTACTAATAATGTCCTCTGTTGCTCTTAAAAGTAAACCATTTTGACAATAAATTACATGGTATGGCACTGTAGGATCAGCACTGGACTAGGAACAACAAGGTTGGCAGTTCAAACCCATCACCTACTCCTCGGAAACCCTATACAGGGTTGCTATGAGTCGGAACCAACTTGACAGTACTTAACAATAACAATGACAACAACCTAAAATAGACCTGACTCAATTTCCCCAAAGCTGCCTTGGTTTTGGGAAATCATTCCATTTTACCCCTGTTGTTGTGTGCCATCGAGTTGTTTCTGACTCATGGCAACCCTATATAGGGTTTCCGTGAGTAGCTGGTGGGTTTGAACTGCTGTGCTTATCCTACAGTGACACATTTTGCACCCACAGTCTTAGAATATAGCTGAAAGCCAACATTCTAATGCCGTATGGCAGAATACATCTCTTTAGCACAAAAATATGCTGATTACTAGATACTATAATATGGTTGCTCAGTGACTGTGGCAAGACCTGGCAAGATAGATCAGAACCTCAATATAAAGAGTCTTCCTCATCTAAATTATCTTTCATCTCTGGCCCTAGGCCTGAGTTTACGGGATAAAAGAATGTCAATATTAAAAGAAGGGAGTGTTTCTGTCAGCATTTAGTTTTTCTGTTTCCTGTATTTTTAGGACTATATCTTCTAATAGCTTTAAAATATAAATCACACCCAGCAGTCATTTTATGGAATTGTTGTAAAACGCATTACAGAAACCTTCACATTCGATAGGTCATCTGAAGAGATCTGCATTTCAGGGATCTAAATCTTGGAAATAGCTCTTGAAGGAATTGTAGAGCTTATATTCATCAGGTGGATATCTTGGACTTCCCAGTTCTACAATGTACATTATCTCACTGGTCCACTAACGATTACCTGCTAGGTGGTTTTAAAATATCATGAAGGGATGTTTAGATGAAATTCTGCACATTAAAGTTTTCTTTTTAGCCCTTCTATTAAAACATTTTTCTTTCCTTCCTTACTCCCCTTCCCTCTCCTGCTGTTTTGTGACTGTTCTTTCGTAACTTCACAATTCTTGATGGAGACAGGAGGCTACAACCTTGCCAACACAGCTCGATGCTGGACATACTTGACCGGGGTCATACTAGGCAAAACACTGTCCTCTGAGATCCCAGATCATGAGGTAAGTAAGACTCTGACAAGTCCTCTCTTTTTTAAGGGGAAGAGCTGAGTCATCCCACCTAATCAAAATCACGTCCTCACCACTCAATACTGTTTTGTTGAGAGACACTCCAATAACAATAACATACTGTCTTGGCGGAATAGTAGACTCTTGTTCCAAAATATCCAAGATCTTCTGCCTTTTTTTTTTTTTTTAACAAGAGATCTCACAGGCCAACCAACTTTAATTTCTCAATTAATTATAGAGACTGTGAGAAGGGGTCACCTGTTCACACAAAGAACTCTTTAGAATATGTGCACATTTTTCTCCCCCAGCCTGAGAAAGAAGGGACTTTTTTTTTTTTTTCTTTTTAGTGAAGCTGGGTTTTCTTGTCTTTTGGGGTGGGGGGAGGAAGTCCCTTAGATAGTATGTAGCACATGTTCTTCAGTGGTTGTTCTGGATTTTCAATTTTCTTAGACTAAAGTAAAATTTAAGAAGCACGTAATTACTGCAAAGACAGGTCTGATGTTTTTCTAGCAATTAGGGGGCAGGACGATCCCAGATGTGAAACATGTCATGTGAGTTTTCTTTAGCCATATGAGATGGGGTTTAAGTTTTCCAAGGCAAAGATGTCTGCCCTGGTTTTCCCAAAACAATTTAATCCAAAGCTGCCTGGGACCTGTGAGTGTGCTGATAATTCCCATCCACCCCCACACCTGACAGGAAGAATGCCATCACAGCTGAGGATGTGGAACTGTAGAACTGTGCAACTTAAAATAATAAACCAGTGCATACAGCCCCACCTTCTCAAGCCATTCCCAAGGATGGTTCTGTGGTTATAGCATGATTCCTATCAAATGCAGAAGCTATACATGCGGGAACATTAGAATTTTCAGAGTTGCTATTTTTTTTTTCAATTAGAAACTGCTTGAATTCATTTCTATTGATATTTTTTCTAGCCACAGGTAAGGTATAATGTGTATCTTATTAAAACTATCCAATGTGTCTAGAATACAAATAGAAGGTGCACTATAATTTGAGTTAATTTGTTGGTGTCAGGGTTAATGTATTTTTTCTTGACTTACTTTTATTCAGTACTTGGAAACTTTATGAAATATAAAGTTAAGTACTGTGGCTAAATACAGTTCTTCTTACTGCTGTGGGAATATAAGAAACTGTATTTTAGTTTAAAGCGCTGAGGTATTTTTTTAGATCTGTTTTAAAGTCAGAAAGTTATGTCAGAAAGCAGTTTTAAGCTTGGAGTAAGAGTGACTGTTCTTTGCCTAGGAAGCAGTAGGAAACTATCCACAGATTCATTTATGTTAAAAGGCTGATAAAAATTTAATAAAGATTTATGCTTACTCTGGTAACGATGGGCTCAAATACAGCAATGATTGTGAGAATGGTACAGGACAAGGCTGTATTTCCTTCTGTTGTACATAGGGTCGCTCTGAGTCGAAACTGACGCAACTGCACCTAACAAAAACCACTGGTACCTAGAGAAGCTGTATACCCTTATGGACTTGAGCTTGACAGATGTTCTGTCATTATACTAAAATATTCTGTGAGATTAAATGAGATATATGTTAACTGTCAAACACACAATTCCTGGCACAGTAAGAGGTACTTTTTTTTTTTTTTTTTTAATATCCTACTGTGAATTATGTGATAGTCTTCATGGGAGGACATTAGCTTCACATTGATCCCATTGTATATCATTTTCTTGCCATGGTTACAATCACCCCCATGCACCATCCATCAACCAAAGGGTATACCCCGCAAGCCTGCCCACACACCCCCCACACCCCCGCACCCCGGTCCAAAGTCCCCAGCTGCTCCATCTCTCCACGCCATCATCTCTGCCTCCATCTCTGGCATCACTGCCTCTCTGGATAGGGTTCCGCTCTGCGCTCTTCTCCCTTGATGGTCCCAGGGACCTCCACTCCTAGACTGCAAAGTCAATCACTCTCCTCCCTTTGCCACAAAACGTCTACCTTTACATTTCCAGCCCTAACAATCAGTCCTGATAATAATTATTCAATATTGTATCACAAGAGACCTATCCGCATCTCCTTTCGTCAGCCCCGCCCAGGCAGATTGGATACTACTCAGTGGAGATTCCACCTTGCTCCATGCCCTCTGGATCTAGGTTCCCTTTTGAAAGCTTGTAAGCCAGTCACTTCTTGCCTCTGTAGCCCCCCCATTCTGGGTAGCCAATGTCCACGTTGCCCATACCTGCCCTTTCCGTGTGTGGAGGAGGGTGGGAGTGATTCTCGCCGTGAAGATTTGTTCCCTTCCTTGAGCTACTGCTTCCATAAGTGTAGATCAAGTTCATAAAATTGTGTCAGATTATTCTCTTTTTCCTCTGGTTGAAGTCTGATCATCCAGTCAAGTGGGTATTATCTGCAAGTGTGGGTGTACCTATGCATGTGCCCAGTAAGAGGTACTTTTAAATTGCAAGTTTTCTCCTTCCTTTTGTGCTCCTAGCTACTTATACCCGCACATTTATAACTATAACATTCATACATTTGTACAAACCCTTTTTGAGTTCCTTCTGTCACATCCTTCTGCTGTTATCCAAGAAGGAACAAAGAAGAAAATGAAAGTGACAGTCTTCAGGGTACAATAAAATAATATATATTTTTTTAAATTGCCAAAAATAGACTACCCAGTGTTTGTGTGTATGTGTGTGTGTATATATATATAAAACTTTCATGTTCGACATCAAGGTTGTTTCCTTTTTTTGACTGTTAATTAATAAAGTTACTATAACGTGCATGTACGAATCTTTGTGTGCTGGGTCATAGAATACATGCTTCCTTTATTTTATAAAATTTTTGTTTTCCAAAGTGATTTTGCCATTTTACACGTTCATCAACAATGTATGAGAGTTCTAGTTGCTCTGCATTCTTACTAATACTTGATAATGCTTGTCTTTTTAAGTTTAGCCTTTCTGGCAGATATAATTGTATTTTTTAATTTGCTTTTATTTCTGTGATGACAAATGATGTGGAATACCATTTCATGTGCTTATTCACCATGCATACAGCTTCTTTTATGAAGTCAAGTATTTTGCATAATTTTATTATAATATTTATCTCCTATTAAGATGTCAGAGTTGTCTGATATGTGTGTTATGAATTTTTCAACAATATGTGGTTTTCCTACTTATTTTGTTGATGTCTTTAAATGAGCAGAAAATTTAATTTTTATAAGGTTGGATTTATCTCTCTTTTTTTAATGGCTAATGCTTTCTGCACCTTCTAAAAAATTTCTGCCATTCCCAAGGTCATGAAGATATATTCCTGTTTTGTTTTTTAAAACTTTGTATTGTGAATTGAGGGAAGGTTTACAGAGCAGATCATCAGTTTTACATTCAACAAATATCATACTTTGCTTCATTACTATGATTTCAGTCCCTTACATGCACCATCAGTTAGCAGTATTTACTTCTTTTCACTTTAGCTCTTGCATCCCCGTGTCTCCCCCACCTTCATCTTTCCTCTGCCAACCTCTGTTTTGTTGTATATTGCCTGCCCTGTCACCCATGTTAACATGTGTCTACCCTCTAGCAAATTAATGATTTTCTCTCTCTGCCCCGCACCTCTGGTCGGAAAGCCCTATAAATGGTCACTATGAGTTGGAATCGACTCAACAGCATTAACAACAACAGTAGATTATGCTGTTGGTGTTGTTTTAATGTTAAATTAACCTTGCATATCCGAGATAAATCATACTTGGTTGTGATAAATTGTTCTTTTTCTCTATTCCTAGAAACAGTTTGCTAAAATTTTGTCAAGAACTTTTGCATTTTTTTGTGATAAACATATATGTTACATGCAATTTGTCATGACAACATTTTTTGCATGTATAGTTCAGTGTCATGAATTATATTCATCATGTTGTTCTACGTTCACTGCAATCCATTCCCAAATTCTTCTTAACCCTTTACAGAAGCTCAGTATTTCCTAGACAATATGCCCTACTTTTCTCCTCTCTCCCACCTGCCCCTGGTACCCTCTAATAAATTTTGGTCTCTATAAACTTGCCTATTCTATATATTTCATTTAGATGGGATCATAGAAATACAGTATTTGGCCCTTTGTAGATGACTTATTTCATTCAGCATAATGTTTTCAAGACTCATCCATGTTGTATCATGTATCAGGACTTCATTTTTCTTTATCACATATTGTTTATCTACTCTCCTATTGATGGACATTTAAGCTGTTTTCATGTTTTGGCTGTTGTGAATAATGAACTTTGGTATACAAGTATCCATTTGCATTCCTTTTTTCAATTCCTTGGGGGTATAAACCTAGGGATGCCATTGCTGGATTACACAATAGCTCTTTGTTTAACTTTCTGAGGAACTGCCAAACTCTTTATTCACAGTAGCTGTACCATCTTGCAGTCAATCACACCAGGAATAAATGAGAGTTTCTATTTCTCAACATCCTCACCAAATACCTCTTGTTTTCTGATTTTTAAAAATTATACCCATTTTAAGATGCAAAGTGATATTTCATTATTGTTTGATTTTATTCACAGCCCCTAATGAGTAAGAACTTTGTGCATCTTTCTTTTCATGTGCTTGTTGGCCATCTGCATTTTTCCTCTGGTGAAATATCTCAAGTCCTTTGACTATTTTTTAAATTAGGTTATCTATATTTTGTTGTTAAATTGTAGGAGTTCTGTGTATTAAACCCTTATCAGATATATACTTACATACTAAGCTACACTGAAGGCATTGGCAAAAACCAAGGATCCAAGAATTGACAGAATACAAACTGAAATCTTTCAACAAGCTGATGCAGCACTTCAGGCACTCACTTATCTATGCCAAGAAATTTGGAAGACAGCTACTTGGAAGACATCTATATCTGTGATCATTCCAAAGAGAGGTGACTCAACAGGATGCAGAAATCCTCAAACAGTATGCAGGTAAAACTTTGCTGAAGATGATTTTAAAATGGTTTCAGCAGTACATTTACAGAGAACTGCCAGAAATTCAAGCTGGA